TATATCTGTAGAGGGCAGCGGGGCTCCTGGTTGGTAATTGTAGCTGACCCAGACTGGACACGGTTGGGCGGACATAAAAGGGGTAGAACCGGCCGCCACGCTGACTTCGGTGCGACGAATACTAATGAGACCCAGGGACAAAGGGAGTTACCATAAGGCTGGTCGTATCAAGGATGCAGTTCTGTGTCCCTGCATTCATTGCTGCTCAAACAAAGTTGACATGGCAGACTTGAATCATTCATGTGAAAGGAAATTTCAAAAAGTATATTGTACTAAAAAAATTGTTTATGATGGATACAAATTTTCGAAATAGATGATACACTGCTCCATGCTGGCTGGAATTTTTCCTGTAATTTGATCTAAGTGCGTATAGATATTATAAACACAGGCAAATAGCTGTTGTAAATTGTGGTTTACATTGCTGGTTAGACTGAAGGGCATTTATTGAAGAGGAAAATTCTCAGTGTTGTCACACCGGAGGGCAGTCTCAGGGCACACCTGGTTATTAGCAGTCTCAAGTTTGGGGACTCCGAAAAGTGCATCCTGACAGTGTTTTGTACATACAAGGTGATTCCTAGATACTGTTACACCCCATTGAACTCTCAGTGAAAGACAAGTAGGATAGTGAGAGTCAAAGGCTTAGATAGGATTAGTAACGCCAACTGACATGGAATAAATTGCATTAGAGCAGGGAGGGGAAGGAAGGGCTTTAGACCACTTTTCTTTTCTGAACTATTTTGGCATGAAAAACCAAATTAGAAAGACCAGCAATCTAAGGGAACAAACTGTAGAAGTATCTGTGTAGTAGACCTACATGTATGTGCAACGTAAAATTTAAAAATTGATTCAGTATAACTTCCCAGGCTGCAGCAGCATGATAGTGTACGATGCTGACACATTTGTGGACGGTCCAGTTGGCATTATTGTAAATCTGGAGTTTTAGAAGGATTGTGAAATGGACTACATGTAGTAGTACTTCTTTGACCTTTTATGACAAGTATGCCATACTTGCAACAACAAGACGAAGGAGACCCCCTTCACAACATTAATCATTAACACGGTACCTATGGGGAGTGAGATGACCTCTATAACAAGGATGCTGTCCATACATTCACCTAAATATTACATCATCTTTATGTTCCTGCTAACACACCTTCGCAGACCATGAGGTTTATGACTGTTGTTGCAAGTCAAAGGTACTAACATGCATGACATGCAGCTTTATCATAAAGGGTTCAAGGTTGTTGATTCAGCTTGTACCTTCTTAAACTAAAGGTAAATATGGAGACAGAGTTGTCGCTTCCTGTGTACAGTCTAACTCTTCACCTGGGCAAATGACTGAACACAAGGAGGAGCGAGGTAATAGAACATCACCTAGAGCAACGGAAAAACATGGGGCAGTCACTTCAGAAGTGTGAAGAGCGGTCGTTACGGAGTCCTTTTTGTCCGGGCAGACTGGGGGGAGGTTGGGTAAAATGTTCCCCCTGGCTGGACCTGTTTGTGTGTTATTGTGGAGCAGTGCGAGTGTGTTTGTGTTGCCAACAGGTGTCCTCAGTGGCAGAGAGAGGGATTAGGCAGGTAGCTGGGATATGAAGCCCACAGGATTGAATTCTTTCAAACGTTGTCATACTATGTAGCATTCTGATGGCTTTTGATGTTGTCTAGGATTGATGATCTAGTTCATGGGTTGCTCCATCACAGCTACCATAATATGGTAATGTTGTTTTAAATTCACAAACCTACAGCAATATACCAGTAGACATACAAAAGAATGAGAGCTAAATTCAAAACCATAGCACTAGCAGCTGTGTCTGCTAGAGATACAACCACCCATGGAGAAAATGCACTAACAAAATTTTTCCAGAACTTTGAAGTACCAGTTAGAATTGTTGACCTTGAGATTGTTATTGAGAGCTTTGTTATTTTTTCTAGGCACCCTGGGTAAGAATGCTCTACAGACAAAAGAAAATGGAATTTGATCAAATACAGTTGTTGGTTTTAATGGTTCAATGCATGAACAAAGTGGGATCTGGGCAAATAGTTGTTTTCCTATGGTTCAGAGACTGTCCTTACATTACAACAGCCCCAACATGAAGTATGCTGCCTGGGTAATTAGTTTTCCCTAAGCCAATAGTGCGACCACCTCAGATGTGGACTTCTACAAGTCAGCGATGTGGAGGGCAAATAGCTGCCTGGTTTGCCGAGTTAACAGGTGACTTATTCTGTTGAAAGGAGGCTAAACGCGGTTGCTGCTCAGTGCACTGTGGTATGTGCAGTTCTGTGCAGGGAGGACAACAGTTTGGTTGGCTCCAACCATCTTGCTCACGTTAACTCCATCAGTAACAGGTCTGGACCATCTAAGCAGGATACCAAATTCAAGCACTTTCTGATGCAGCCTTTCCTAAATTCAAACTCCAAACAAGTTTACATGTTCCTTTTTTTCCAAAAAGGTTAAAGGTGTTGCTGTTGACTTTTCCCCAGAGGTGTCCAACATCCTTGGGCAGGTTAGATATTGACTCACAGTTCAAAAGATAATATTGACTACAAGACCAAAAAGGTCTTGGGTAGATTGACATAGCTGTGACTGGAATATACACGAGTTCTGTCATGTAAAGACACAGAAGTTTTAAGAAAATACAGTTCAGTGTCTGTGATATAACATTCCTACTGCAGTACATGTTTTTTGTATGTAAAAAGAAGTAACCAGATTTTTACAGCCACAGAGTGACCCCAACATAGATATTTCTTCACATATCTATTTTATGCAAAATATGACTCCAAGTCCAATTATGACACAAGTCAATCACCTCTCTAGGATTTTTCATTTGTATGCCATCAAAGGTTGAAGCTTGTATTTGTGTCTCTCTTCTTGAAAAGGCCGTACCATATTTTTCTGTTAGATGTACAAAACAGCCACATTTGTTCCACTGTTTTGGTTACTTTGCTAATTGAATACACCACAAAGGGTACATTTCTAGGTTAGTTTAACTAGATGCCATGTGATATCCAGCTTTTGATACACATTTTTTTAAAAAAGGTGACCTCGGTTGTCTCAAGTTTCTATTTACTATCATGGCTTTTTGCTTTTACATTTAGAAAGTGTTAAAAGGTACAGGTGTTGATTACATTAGAGTAGACGACACTGTGTGGTCCAATGTTTTAGAAAATGTGTACATATGCAATATGCAATCATAACATTATATCTTGAGCTGTTTTAGTTGTAGCTAGATGAAGAACAAGAAAGAATGGCAATAGAAAATTGGATTGTACTAAATACCTTTTTTTTGCCAAGTCTTTAAACATTTACAAGTGGATTACATGTACAAGTAAAAATCATTATACAATGTTTTGCCAAGGTATGTTCTCATGCATGCCTGTTGCGTTGCTTGGCTCGGTCCTTGACAGGCAAATCGTTCCTCCTCACTTGAAGCATATCATTGTAAATGGCCCGTAGCAAGCCTGCTAACATTGGCTTACTTCCCAACCACCAGCCAATGGTTGATGTTATTATGTGGACAAAGGCTTCTGTTTCTGAGGCCACTTACCCAGGCAGAGAAGTGAAAGATCTTTTCCCAACTTAGCCACATTAAATACAGGAACACAGTATGGTAGAAAAACATCCATTGTCAACTTAAAACTCGGGGTGGGGTCCATCTTAAGAAGAAGAGCTTACAGTGTCTATTTCAGTCCAAAGCTAAACCTCCCTTTGGGTTTAAGTTATCTTTTTCTGTAGTCTCACCTTTAACATCTTAAAGGATTGAGGCGACTTTGGCAAACACAGTCTTGTAAAGGTGTTTACCTCCTAGCCGGGGGAGGTCTTTTCAGGACAGCTTTTCCACATCTTTTGTTCCTTAGTTGACGTGTTCTCAGGTTAACTTTCTTAGATATTTGAAGTCACCTGAAGCAATTTCAGGCAAGAAAACTGGATTTCAAATATAGGTCAATTTTCTGGTAATTTTTTCAATGAAGTAAGTTGAATGAACTCTCCCATGGCATACTGATATCTGTGAGGAAAAAATGTAATGTAGCTGATGGAAAAAAAGTTGCTTGTTTCATATCATAGGCTGGTTCTAGCTGTGTAGTGGTGGTAACAAAAATTAAAGGACCTTCTCACATTGCTTGTTTTTGGAAGATTTTGGACTGTCGTTATTTCAAATGTTTCAAGACGTAGGATAAAATTATTACAAAAAAGTGATAAGAAATTCCACAAAATATCACTAACAGAAATATTTGCTCTTGCAAAATATTTATTGTATTGCCACCCTGAAATTGTATTGGGTGCCTAAATTCTCATACTTATTTTATGGTAAAGGAAGGCCTTAATCTTTTTCATTAAGCATACTACAGTAGTATCAAAGCCCTTTCCTACCGCTCCAATGTTACTGAACAACAAGGCTTTCTGCAAACATAGTGCCCAGTGTAGCAAACAGTGGTGTGTACTAGCTGATATTTAAGGCACTGTCTATATATCAAGGGTGGAGCAGCCTTAAGAAATTGAAGAGCTATCTGTCAGACTTGTCTACCAAAAGACAAATGTTATCTCTCCCTTGAAACCTGTTTTCTTTAAGTGCCTAATGATCTAGGTAAGTTTGACTTCCGTGGTCCTTGGAGATAGTAACAAGTTTGATGTGTCCACATTAGCTTGGTGGATTATCTCTCCATGTAATTGCATTTTTTGCCTAGTCAGTAAGTTCTGTTGGGATAAGACAGAACTAGTTAGATTTTACAATTTTTCAGACTTTCTTGAATATTTGTGGTACATGTCATCAATGTTTCAGCTAAGTAAACAGGTCAATGTTACAAACTTTTGTTACCTATATGTCTTGAACTGACTCTTTTGACTTCAGTTGACTGATATTAATTCTCAATGCTCCTGTTTGAAGAAGTTCAGCCATTTGCTAACCTTCTCCCTGCTGCTGATCCTCAAAATGAATACAAATGTGGTGCCAGATGACTACCTTATCATGCTGAAGGTTAAACCCAGTGCCCTGTGTCTGCAGGTGATGTTTGCCAGGTGCAGCTGGCTCCCGTGTCTCAGTCCCACTTCATCCCCCTGCCTGACGTCCTGTGTCAGACCATCGCAGAGCTCAACAATGGAAAAGGAGTCGCAACACAGGTAAATAATATTCTGTATAATATCTGTATAGCTATAACTACCATTTGGAGCAACACAGCATCTTCTATATCTGTATAGCCAGGGTATATACATGACGTGTATAACCTGGCATAACACACCAGCTGCTGTATCTGTATATCTGCATAGCTGGTACAACCCCACAACACACCAGTTTTGCAGATGCACAGCCCAGAAGCGGCTCAGTTTATATTACACTGAACGACCTCAGCTGTTACTGTACACCTTAACCTTTGCATAGCTAACTGTAAGCGCTGCTTCAAGCTATCTAGTGATGATGCCTCTACTATATTTGGTAGTAGCGATAGTTCTAGGAAAAAGTTGATAAGTCTGGTACTTGAAGGCATAGTTATTTCTTGTGCTTTTCTGAGCTCTTCCTTTACTCTTTCTTTCATTCTCCTGTTTCCTTTCTTTATTCTTTTACAAAATCCAACAGTATAAATTTGTATGCTACGTGAGAACATCTCTCACCACCCACCCCAAGCCCTGCCGGTACTTCCTGTCATCTGTGGACTGATTCCCATTGATTTAAACCTCTAGGATCAACTGTTGACTTTACAAGTGGGTCTTTGGGAGCCACATTCTCTACACTTCAAAAGGCAGGAAATGTCGCCATGTTCAGCACTTGGGATTAGCCAAAGTGGTGCTCAGAGGGGGGAAATAGGGATTTTTTAACAGCTGATTTCAGAACATCTTTCTGGTGGTGAGGGTAAAGATTCTGAGAGTACAAAGCCATAAAAGAACTTGTTAAAATGTTAAGTTTTCACAGCATGAGTCAACTGATGTTGGGTTATTACAAAATAGAACAGTCATCAGACATTTATTAAGAGCAGCCAAAAGCAAATTATTTTGCTGTTAAAAACCTCTTTGCTTGTTGTACGAGTGACTGCCAGTATCAACATCGCTTCTTGCAGATAAGCTTTAGCATTTTGCCATTTGAGGCTTACAGTCTCAGAGTAAAAGGTTACAGTCTTAGGGTAAGGAGAGAGCCTTGTATACACCAGGATTTGGTCGGGTGGATCAAGTCAAGAGGCAATTTGGGTTGGGTTCAAAGGACTGTTATGCCTTTGATGTCACGTGACTGTTACACAGGCCATGTGATCCTTTCCTCTCAGTGAAGACAAATGTTAGAAGTCAACCCAGGATTTATAAGATCTGATGTATCCAGAAAGAAGGCAATAAGTAACACTTAGGAAGAATCCAGTGTTAGTTTTGTTACATTGCAGTGAAAAAAAATAGGATCAATTTATGCGCAGAAAAGCTTAAAAGGAATGTTCAATAGACAATTATTTTCTCTCACAACATGTAGTGGATATGGGAAACAGTGGTCTATAAAATTTTGTTTATAATTTCTGAATAAAGATATCCATATTTATTCTGGGTTGTTGTTTCAGGACAACATAGCAGAGTATCTTCAGCAGAAGTTCAGCGGAGTTCCCCTGCCTGACCAGGACGTCCTGCATGAGCTACTGGGAGAACTCATCAAGGAGAGAAAGGTAACTAGAGAGGATGACATTTGCGAGCAAATATGATATATTTCACTCCATCTCCCTATGAAAGCATGGACTCTTCCAGCAACACCTACTTGTATAAAGGACCAGTCCAAAAACACTAGCAGCCATAAAATGTCTCTTTCATAATCACCACAGTTTAAAAGATGGGAGAGACAGAATAAAGCGAGGTATCAGTTTAAAAACAAAATTCTAACTCTCTGTTCTGTCTTCCTGCACAGAGCATACTGTGGATTTACAACAAGTCCTTTTACTTTTAGGACATCATTTATGTCAGTATATTAGCATACATAAAATGTATTGTTTAAGAGTCCAATTGACCTTTTGTAAAGTGTTGTCTATATTCTCTTGATACCACCTCTCAACAAAATTACAGGCCTGAACGGTTTACAACAGTCATACTCTTCGTTATTTGATAGTCAGAAGGTTAATTAGGTGTTAATGGGTCCCACTGGGAGACTCATTAGCAAATTAGCAACAAAGGACAATTTGTTCCATTGTTCTGTGATGGCTACTGTAGAGAAGGATTGTTGGTGTTTGTGCGCAATGTTTACAGTTGTCATTTTTTACTAAACATCTTCTTCTGTGGTTGTCTTCAAATCCTTTGTCTTTATTTCAAATTCAAAAAAATAATCAGAAAGACAGGATTTTATTTTCATGCAGTTTTCATACCAGAAAGTTGACATAGTGCAATTCTATGTACTACTGGTACTATTGTTTCTTGTGTATAACATATTTTTTGTAATTTTAACCTTCTCCCTGCCGCCAAACCTCATAATTAACAAAGAATTGGTAGCCAAACTGCTACTTCAGTGTAATAAATGTTAAATGCCGTCTTGTAATGTATGATATCCAAAATCTTCCTTCCTTCCCAGGTGTACCACAATGGGGAAGAGTACCGTATTGTCACCCCTGAGACGTACACAGCCACCAACCCTCCCACCCCGTACTCTACCATCCCACCGCCTGCCCCCCAGCCTTCACTCCCCAGCCCTCCTGAGGCCAGGAACCCCATGTACTTCCCCCCTCCCACAGAGAAGGTTGTCCCCATGTTGGCCGTACCAGCGGAAGGTCATGAGGGGTCAAACAGGAAGGCAGGATCAGCTCAGACCAGGAGTCACTCAGGTAAGGCATGGGTCATTGACCTTCCTCTGATCAATGGATATGATTTTAAAGGTAAAGGTAATTCCATAGACTTTCTCAGGCCGTAGGGGCAGGTAGTGAGTTGTTAGTCCACTGTGTCTAGGGCACCCCTTTAACATAAGATTTGCTAAAGTCAATGAAAAGGTGCTTACTCTTCTCTGGACTTCACCAATCTCTCTTTTCCCTACAGAGGAGAAGTACCAGTTCAAGCGTAGTCAGTCCATGCGTGTGCCAGCTGAGAAGGACCGCTCCTCCAGTCTGGGCAGAACAGAGTCTTACAGGATGGGCCGGAGCAAGAGTGTAGGCTTCAACCTCACTCCGAAAGGTAACATCCAATGAGGATCAATGACAGTATTAAGTGGTGGCTAGCAAATAGAAATTATGGCAAATCAGCTCCATGGACAGCGTTGCAATTGCCGTTAAGGCATTAGGAGAGTAAATTGATGGCCAATCAGCACCAAGGACAGTGTTGCAATAGCCAATAAGGCACAAGGAAAGTAAATTGATGGCCAATCAGCACCAAGGACAGTGTTGCAATAGCCAATAAGGCACAAGGAAAGTAAATTGATGGCCAATCAGCACCAAGGATAGTTTTGCAATAGCCAATATGGCATTACAAAAGTAAATTGACGGCCAATCAACACCAAGGACAGTGTTTTGCAATAGCCAATGAGGCACAAGAAAAGTAGATTGATGGCCAATCAGCACCAAGGATAGCTATGTTCATGTTTTCTTCTTCAGGTTCTGACCTGTGTTTCTACTCTAGAATTACATGCATGTATATCAAAACAGTAATAGGCTTACTTACATTCTATTCCCTTTATCACCCACAGAAGTGTTACAGGATTATTATGGAAGCGAGAAGTCCTTCCGCTTGTTTGGGATCAAGATTTTCCGCTGGGGGAGGTCCAGCAAGAACAAGAAGGATCATGGGAAGGGCCCAGCCAAGCAGTATGCCACCTTCTCAGGACAGTTCCCTCCAGAAGACATGTTGAGGTAAAGAAACTGCTTCCTAGTGTACATTCTTAATTGTTATACCAATGTATCCTTATTTCATGTTTTATCAATACCTGAATGCATCTGTTAGGTTTGTTATGGACAGATTAATGCTACTGTTACTTAAAAAAAGCCACTCTTTTCCTTTGTCATTCTTTGACATTCTACCGTGAAGAATTAGTAGATGAATGGTGAAGACAAATATCTAACTGTAGTTCTGTCTGCAGGGGTTCTTGTCTGAAGCAGAGTGACCGCCGCCCCTCAGAGCTGACGGTGGAGAACCTACATAAACACAACCTGGAGATACAGAAGCAGTTCCAGGACCGGGGACAGAGCACTGCACAGACAGTCACTGCAGACGTCCACCAGGATAACTCCCAGGGCGATAAGGGACAAGAGAAGGTGAGGATCTATGACTTATACACTGATGGACGTACCTACTACTAAGTACCTAATACCAGCTCAGAAGAGAACAAGGAATAGTTTAAGCATTGAGGTGTTCAAAAACTTGTTTTTTCCTAGAACTATCATCCCTCTACCACCAAGTAGGGGCATCATCACTAGATAGATTTAAACAATGTTTTCAGTTAGATAAGCAAAGCCAGAACATGTCATTCAATGTAATATAGCCAGCTGCCTTTGAGGCCATGGCTTCCATGTAGTTCACTGATAGAGAATTATGAGGAGTATTAAAAACATTTAAACATTGTATGTCTTCGTATTATTGTTTATTCAGGAAAAGCCCAAGAGCAAACACAGTGATGAGAGGCACAGAAAACGAAGGCACAGGAAACACCGCAGTAGAAGGCACGAGAAAGACACCCATGAAGCTACTCCAGAAGATGCACCTGAGCATGTCCATCAAAGGGTCAGCGAGGGGAATACAAGACCCAACAACGACACAGAGGCAGCCCCTGCAGTGCCTGATATTCCTGACCACACGTACACAGAAAGACTCACTGTTGATGCAGAAAACACTCACTTTGAGGAGCCTGTTCCACCATCAGCAAGTGCACAGAACACTTTCAGAAGAACACCAAGGCCAGTGTCATGGGACGGCTCAGTAACACGTGTTCCCGTCCACATGTACAGCACTGGCAATACTGGTGATGACATGAGGCACCCCCAACAGGCACAGAACATGTTCGATCAGAACTACTATGCAGAGATTGAAAACCATCAGCAGATCTACAGTGAACCGGACCACTTTGAAGAGGAACACCAGTTCACGAGCTCTTATGAGTACCCGGACAATGGAACCGTGGTGAGCGAAACGTTTTCGGAGTTAGAGAGGCAACAGGCACAGTACAGAAAGTACCCCCATGGAGCAAATACACAGAACAATGTTACCAGGCACAGGCACGCAAGCGACTTCTCCTGCACTACTACAGATTACAGCCAGAGTCATGGCTACCCAGCAGAGAGGTGGCATCCACAGGAACCACAGTACAGCAGCAGGCATCCACAGTACAGTGTAGGGGGTGCCGCTGCAATCCCAGAAGTCCAGAGCGATGGAGAAGTTGAGGACTTGAGGAAGGAGATTGAGCGAAGCCTGGCGCGTCCAAACTCGCTCACCAACCAGAGAAGGAAGCAGCTCTTGCTCCAGGTAGCGGAGTCGTTTGACGGCAGCGACATGGACAGTGGGTTTAACTCGCCCCGCACGCGCAACAGCATTGCCTCGGAGGCGGCCATGTCTGATGGTACTCGCAGCAGGCGCAGTCTCGCATCAGAGTACGACAGCAACGAACCTGTCCGGCCCTTCGTCAAGCCGTATCCATCTTACATGATGCACAACAGGTTCCCACGGCCCTACATGGAGCAAGTGGAGGAGAAGGGAGAGAGCAAAGAGGCACTCAACTGTCTGAGTACGGAGAACATGTGTATGGACATGAACAACCCCACCAGGACAGGCTTGCACAGTGAGACAGGCAGGCAGGGCATGAAGTCGTCTCCCCGCTCCAGGACTCCTGAACAGCTCCTGAAGGAGAGAGGTCCATTCATTGGTTGTACTCACGGTCCCAGAGTGAGCGTAGGAGGGAATCTGTAGATATTGTGTGAGTGTATCAAGCATTGTGGATATACTATTAATGGCAGAAAAATGTGTACATAGGTAGAACTATGAAAGACAGTCAGAAAGAATCTGTAGACTTCATGTATCAACTGGAATATTCATAATTGTCTGGGTTTTGATATAATCACCAATTTTGAAGTATTACACTTGCTGGGACCTGGAACCTCCCAAGGTTTTGGTAGATGCAATTTGTATATACTTTTTAGGTGTTTTGCAAGCTTTCTACAATAGTGTGTGACTTTGCAGTTGTATATGAGATGGTGATTATGACAGTAATTATGTTATGTTGTGGCGAAGTATACCTGTCAAACATCTGGGATCATCTCAGGTTGATTTTCTTTCAAATTATGGTGCAAGTAATTGCTAGCATGTCAACTGCACAATTCAAAGTAATGAACTGGATGAAATTGTTTTCCCTGACTTAAACATGTTGTCATGAATGATGAACTTATATGGTGCCAACTTGTATCTTATGTATATAATGTTTACTTGGCTACAGGTAGCAACTCCTTTGGTGAACACAGCTTATACTTAATTCTTGGTAGAAGATGAAAACAGGGGGTTGATTCATAGGATTTATACACAGGTTTTAATCATATTGTACCAGGTTTTGCCTTTATAATGCAGAAATGTTAAGGTGATAAAGCTTGCTGTGATTGTATTTATGAAAGAAGCAAATGGGAATAGTAAAGCTTGCTAGGAAGTGTATATTCTTTCATTACAAATGTCAGCGCAGTGTGTATATGTTATTTGATGGTCACAATGTTGTATAAAATTATATTTCTTTAGTTGATTTTTTCAATTGCAATTCTCAATAATTGACTGCACCACATCAAGGGCAAGATAGTAACAACTGCAATAAAGAACATTTTATTTCTGGCAATAGTGAACAGGAATGTGAAATTTAATTTGGTAAATTTTCTTACCAAGTGTTTAAAAAGGTACCTTGAGGTCATGTGTCAGACTAGTATAATGAAGTAAAAGACATCCTAAAGATCTTTTCTCTGTAGCTTCAACCCAAATACCATTTAGTACAGCTGAAAAAGTATGGGACTACCTTTATTTTTTTTAACCATACCATACATACTAGACCTTTGCACATCTGTTGGTGCATATCCCTACACTGCACATCATACAGAGGTAGGCTGGGTCATTCTGTCGTCCTCTCAGAGCGATGGCAGGCTTCTCACACACCAGGCACCAGTCCTGGCCGGGCGCCACCAGAGGAGGCTTGTGCAGCATGCAAAACTGGACCTAAAAAAAAAAAATTAATGTCAGATAAAGTGGAGTGTATTTGCCCAATTTTTACCTCTGGTATGGTGGTATTGTTTTGTGTGTGTGTGTCTGTGCAGGTGATTGGTTGTGTGTCCGTAGGGTTGAGTGACAGCATGTGGGTGAGGGGAATTCCCTAATAACAGACCACAAAGGTCAGACACTGGAAGTGAGGTCCCACACACTGGGCGCCTCCTCTTGGCCGGATGCATCTGGTAAGGTTTCTGTTGTAGGATCATTGGAAGTACTATGTATTCAATGAACAGTCTTGCTAAAGATGTTACCTTCTGCTGTTCTTTCTTGAAGGGAGTGAAGTGACCACAGATGACGCAGGTGTCTTTGTTCATTGTCCTGGCAGGTGTGAAGGCCTGCATCTGCATGGAGCACATCTTGCAGATCACGATCTGGGCAACATGGCCGCCGTGAAACCCACCTGGTGGGATGTGGGTCCTGCATCGAATGGCCTGAGGAAGAGATGAGGAATTAACTACTTACAGCACTGGCTAGATTATGTGTCATTGTTCTCTCCAGCCTATTTTTTTTGTCATCTCAATTTTGTTTGACATAGGCATGAGGCATTGACTCATTGAGCTAGAGGTGCAACAATCCAGGGGTCTGTGAACATGCTCCCTATTTCCTGCTTTTAGGGGGGTTTGCTTCTTTAGCTTAGTTTGATGACATCTCTCAAAGATAATGGATTGGGCAAAGTTTTTGCAACAAAAGTCTGTCAAATGACTGAAAAACAGACGCTGGCCAATATACTGTTATATGGGAAGGCACTTTACATAGCTTTCCTAACTCCACCCAGGTGTCAAATGTGGAAAAGCTACATAACATACCACCATTCATGGCTCAAAAAAATGTAAATAGAAAAATTACACTTCCTTACATTCATGTATTTCTGCCTGCTGTACATCCCCATCTGGAGTGAGCGAAGGTCTTTCCTAACAAACTCCACCAGCTGGGAATGCAGACCAGCCTGCTGCAGATGGTAGGGCAACTCCAAGGCCACCAACTGCTGGCTAGCACATTGACCCTGGTAGTAGTCAGCCAGCAGCTTGTGGTAGTTCTGCTGAGTTGCTTGGTTGCTCATCAGGGTCTCCTGCACCACCTATAGAGAATAATATTACATAACTGTTATTGGTCACTATTGGTAAGTGTTGGACTTCAGTACCATGGACAAAACCTTCTGACATTTGCTCCGATGCCGAATGCTGTCAATATATGAGGGACTTGAACATATATTTTGGGGGGTCCAGTTACTTTTTCTGACCGAACTGTTTTAGAGATCATATGCAAACTAATTGCGAAACAAGACTTAAACCACAATGAAACAATAAAGGATCAAGTTGTCTCACCTGTCTGATGGAGTTGTGGCAGAAGTCCATACTGGGCAGGTTCAGGTGGCCGGTGGTGTTCCTCAGGAAGGGTTTGAGTGATCTGTGCACCTGACTCCAGGTCAGCATGGGCAGGGGCGTGGCTGTCTCAGGGTCACCTAGCAACACCTGAAGCTGGGTCTCCTGTAGACCACTCTGTGAGCACTCCAAAAGGCACAGCATCTATGCAGAGTAAAATATTTCCTCAAGGTAAGACAAGATCTTAAAAATCTGAGGAAGATTTGGTCAAAAATTTTGGTAATTATTTATAGCTGGATAGCAATTTCTCATACCAGTATTGTGTGGCCCATTTGAAGAAAAGACAGTTAAACTTCAAGTTTTAACTGTTAAAGCAGGCGTACCTTCTCTGCACACCTGGTCTCATCTTCTTGGATCACCCGTGAGATCACCATGGACAGCAGGCCTTCCAAATATGGTGGCAGGGACTGGATCTTTGCTGTGACCTTTGTGGTAAAAACACAATATTATGTAAGATTTTATATAGTCCTTAATAGCTGTGCTTTTGACTGTCTTTGATTTTTCCACTCAATTTGGAATTCTCTCCGTTGGTTGAGTCATCTACATGTATACTGTCTGGTCTGTCTTCATTTTGAAATTATGTCCTCTTCTTCATATCTTTGTCATTCAAATGTATCAAAGTTCCTAATGACAAGATAATTAAGACAGTGAGTTGAGGCACTTTAATACAGTAAATGTATATAAATGATAAAGTCTATGAAACCAGTGTCAGTTACCTGTTCAAACACTCCAAACACCCGCAGTTCCTCACAGGCAATAGCCAACCACATGGGGTTACTGGAACCATCTGATGATGTCAGCAGTTCTAACTGCTCCTTGTCCAGGGCCTGTCAGAATCAAGACATTTGAATACATCAAGCACAAGATAGCAAACTCTATCAAACATTAGCCTTTTGCAAAATTTGAGCTGTAAACAAAACAAATTCAGTGATTAATTGAGCACTATGAGAAATGGAATAAATTCCTCCTTTTTGTTTCGTATGAAAGAATCTGACAATACATGTATGTTGAAGAAGGTTAGGGCAGGCAATAAGATACCAAAGTACCGGTAACAGTTCTCAAGCAAGCTGGATACTAGATTTTCATCTGTTTTGATTTCAAAATCCATCCCATAGCTTGAGTAATTGTTATTCTGGAATCTGACAACACTTTATTCATGTCACACTCAATACCTTATTGTATCTCTTGAAGTATCTAGTGACAATGTCTTGTCTTGTGCTCTTGTCCAGATCAGGCACAGTGAGCTCACAGGGAGGAGGTTGTCTGTCCTTCAGCCTGCTCAGAGTGGGAGGGTGTTCTGTTGTACTGACAATGCAGCGAACGTTGCAGGGAAACGTCAGCGCTAGCCAGTCCAAGTGGTAGGTAGAGCTGTGATCTGCAAGCTGGAAAATGCAAAAAGCTCAAAGCCTTACCACAGACCTAAGTGTAATAATTTGCTTTAGATCATTTTAAGGACAGCAACACCTTTACAGATGACATTAATCAATTCACTTCAAATGTCATGTAACTGTATAAGAACTTTCTGTATTCAATGTGGGTCTTCACATCCTATGTTCTGGTTCCAACATCTGACACCTTATTCAGGTAAACAGGTGACTGGTTCTGATTTGTACTAAAGCTAGGTGTCACTGCTGCAACGTTACAATCGTGGTTCATAACAGAGAAATTGTGGATAATGTGGACATAAGATGTTTTGTTCACCTGATTGACAGCATCGATGATGATGATGAGCCTCTCCTCCGTCTCCCCAAAGTCTCGCAGCTGTTTCTGTATCTTCTCCTTCAGCTGGTCAGGTGACATCTCCTTGTCTTGTTCTGTTTCTCTTTCTGTTGTAAAAAAGGAACAGGAGGATATAATACAGGCAAAGGAACAGGAGGATATAATACAGGCAAGAGTCAATAAACTGATCATGAATGTCTGTCACAATTATCAGTGATAACATGGCAGTTAGCGGTTCAACTAATGCATGTCTGGCAAATAATTGCATTTCATATGCTTTTACTTTGCATTAAATTTTGTGTTTTGTATGTAATGACAGAGATGGGCAGAGATCAGTCTATATTTTACAGTATAGAGAAATGTAGTAGAGAGAAATGAACTGTGGCAACAACAAGCCTATTACCTGATCCAGATTTGTCTAGTTTTTTATACAGTCTCTGAAGAATGTTGGCTGGATCCATGGTGTCAGGTCCACATCCAACAAAGTGGTATAAGACATTGTCACATTTCTGCAGGAGAGAAAAGGTCAATGTTACCATATGCAAGTAATGCTAAAAAAAAACACTGTATACATTCTACTTCTAAACGTTTGTTGTTACACAAATAACTTTGCAAGACACAGATACATTTGCATGAGAGGTGAGCCGGGATAGGCCTCAAAATCTATCTAAAAGTGTCATATTCTGCTTTTTTTAAAGGACATGTACAGTATCTAGACACATTGTGAAAATATTTTCAGCTCCCCACATACCTTGTCCTATCTTACCTGAGTGACTTCCATGGTGAACTTGGCCATGAGAGCAGATTTGCCAGTGCCAGGTTGGGCCACCACCATCATTATCGGGAAGCTGCTTTCTCCAGTTTGTTCAGAGTCTGTGGCTGAGGGTACTGCTGAGGAACTGTTGTCATCTCCTGTAGCAAACTGCATCAATGCCTCCATCTCAGCTTCTCTGCCAAGAACCAGCTGGCCTTTCTGTTGCATGTACGTGTCGTGGGGCAGCAGTTCTGTTCAAGGCCGGAAAAAAGGTGTGAAAAAATGATTGATTTTCAGCTGTAGTCTTCGAGGTTCTGGATGGGTCGGTTTCTTTTCCTTCTGTTAAAATTTCCTCACAAACACATGCCACTTTTTCTTAACCCACAAATCAAGACTATAGCATGTCCAGGACAAAAGATACAAAAATAGGTAGTTCTGCTGCAGTACCAAGGACAGCCACTAGGAGTTCCGTACCTAGGCTGAGAGGATCATTCTGCAAACGGTCTTCAGGATATTTTTTATTGAAGGCATTTTTGAAGAACTGGACCACCTGTGAACAGAAGTCATCCAGATCTGATAACTGCACCTGTGGAAACAAAGATTTTAACATTATTATCATCTTGTACATGACAATTTTTAAAATGCTAGCAATACCCTATAACAACTGTGTATAAAAAGGTTTCTATGGGATGAAAACAAACAAAACAAGATAAATCAAGGCAATGAAAATTCAATTTACCTATATACAGGCATGTATATAAGAAAAATCCATGACTGTGTTCTACAGACTACACTTTCAGCACCAAGGACAGACCCTGTCAATTTTCAGATGAAAGCATTTTTGGTTTACAAATGCTTTGATTGGATTTAAAAACTGAGGTAATGGTAGTTCAATAGACTTTTTCAGGCTATAGGGTCAGTGGGTTGTTAATCCACTGTGTCTAGGGCATGGTATTGAAAGGTGGAGCCCATCCCTCTCCTTCCACCACTCGTTACCGCAACCAAAATCAGGTACTACACCTGGGTGGTTCGAGGAAAGTCAAACGATACAACAACTTGCCAGGAATGCCTGGAATAAAATCTGTGACCTCTCAATCTCATGTCTGCCAGCCTAACCACTCAGCCATTTAATTCCACACACTTTATTTGATGAAGAAACCTAAACATGATGCAATGTTCAAACCAACCTTGTTGTCTGCTGTTTGTACATCAGAGAAATTGCACCTGTAGTCAAAGGTCTGGTCTGGAAACTTTAGATGGAGCTGAGACTTTAATTCCTGAAAAACAAGAGTTCAGAGATTGCATACCTCCAAGAAATATATAAAACTTTCAATTGGTACATTTTGTTGTTTTATTTTGTCTCAATGATTATGCAAATAATGTTGTGGGTAGCATTATATATAATATTAATGGTCTTCTCTACTTCATTTGCATATAAAGCATGTTTGAAAATCATATCCGGAAATCCATTTTGACATTCTATCAATTATTATGTCTTTCTAAATGAAGAAAGAGTATACTTACCTTAAGTTGTTCTACACATAGTGGATCATCATCTACAAATTTGCCGTAAAATTCCTCAGGTAGGTCCTTGAGAAACATGGGGTCCCTGAGAAAGAATGCTGCATTGGGGTTGTTTGGACGGAGTGCACCATGGGTAATCTCCATATGAGTGATTGACAGGTGGTCCACCCAATCATAATTGTCCCTGATGTCAGCTGACACATCTTCAGTAGATGGTATCCATCCATATCTGTGTGTAAGATACATGTATATCGGGGAAAGCTCTTACCTTTACAGGTAAAATTAGCACTGTGCAGGTATTTTTTCTATCATATCTATTTTTCATGGGGATCAGTTATTTCCAATGCTACCTGCAAAAAATGCAGAACAAGGATATTGAGCACTGACTTACCTTTCGCCCAGCATGGCCAAGAAGAACGGCTGCCCGTCAGTCTCCTTGAGACACCTGTCCAGCTCCTCCAGACAGATGCTGATGGTTGTTTGTGAGGTGGAGTCCTTGGGAACCCCCCACCTCAGGTCACATTCCACCAGGTGGAGCTGCCGCCCCTCACACCACTCCCGCAGTTCAGGGAACACCTGCAAGGACGCGTATACAAGACAAACACTAAATTTACAGTGAGGGTGCTGATACACAACTTTCTGGAAAATGCAGAAAAAGCAGTTTTCCACATATGTTAGTCTGCTGTAAAATAAACACAAATCAATGAATATTTCAATTCAAAGATTAGAAAACAAATTATTGAATGTCAATTTAGGACACTTAAGTGTAACACAAAAAAAATTCATGCTATGAGAATGTCGGGGGTTAAAAAGTGTGTTAGAGTTAGTCAATGTTGGGAGAACAAGTCTCCTACCCTGTCTGCTTGTCTGCAGTGCTCTCAGCTACAATGTCCATCTGTAATATATAGCCTTTTATACAGACTTTAGATGAGGGTGACAGTTTTAGGTAGATCATATATGAATGGGCATGAAGGAATTTCAACACAAGACAATATTTGATATGACTGTATAGAAAAATATCCAGTAAGGCCTAACCAAGGAGGCTCAAATCATCTCTAGAATATGGATGATATATTTCTCAATCTTTGAATCTTTAAGTATTCTAAGACTTACTTACCTTCTTGACCAGTGCTTCTCTTTCAGCGTGAAAGTCAGCAAAGGTTGACGAAACGAAGACTCGAACTTCTTGCCAGCCAACTTGTGCTTTGTCCTTACTGCCCTGTGTACCTGACTGGTACTCTGCACACTGTTGTTCTATTGTCTTCCAACATCCGGAAACTATCTCAGCAGCCACTTGTGATGACATCTGGTTAGCTGGTTGTCCTTTGGTTGCCCCGAACTGTTCTTTAGACACTCCATTGCCAACTGGTCAATAGGGATATGATAATTCACATTCAATCACATATGAACTTGACATACAATGCAACAGAATAAAAATGTGTTTTTGCACATTTCACTTCCAAAATTAAGACAATACTGTGTATACTGTATGACCAGAGCTTGAAATACTGTATTTTATTTCTGTGTTTTGCAAAGAGCAAGTCAAAGTACAGAGCCCGACATATTCTTTAAAATAGCTCACCAAATTGCAATTTGCATGTTGTATTGTATAATGCAATTTTAAAATCTTGATGCAAATTGCAGATTGTAGGTGGGTACTTCAAGGCCTGATGACTTTGTATGAAGTTAATTATACATCAAAAGAGACAGTATTTTTAAAAGGAATGTCATCAGGCAGTATTACTAGTATATCATATGACATACATTGAAAACATCAACTGATATGGGAACATACATTATGTCTGTTGATATAAAGGAAGTAGCATCAGCCAATGACAAGAAAAATCAACACAACATCGTGTGATTTTAACATTACATAACTCTGCTATTAATTAATTTACAAGTATAATTGTAACCAACACAAAACTACCTGGTGGGGCCTTGTCAGCCTGAGAGGTCCCATGATGCTCTTCAGGATGGGGACCAATGGGAGGACTTCTTTGCCTGGCTTTGGACACCTTGGTTCCCATGGCAACAGGTGCTACACCCGCAGACTTCTGAAAATGACAGAAGACGAGTGTTGTTCCTTTCTCCGCTGATTTCACCCCTCAGCAGATCTAACCCAATCCTTCACCCACCGACTCTGACTTTAAGTCGGTGGAATGTTGATGATAATAGATGTGTGTTTATGGCAACTGAACAATAGATGCTTTTAATTATTCATCAGTATGGGAGAGTACACGAAATACTCAAGGTTATCACGCTAGATGATAAATAATACATACGATTATCATACAGCCAGATGACATTGATAAATCAGGTGGTATTGATCGATATTGATTGCAAGGCTATAACGTTAGTATCATTGACTAGCCAATTCCTTGGCACATATTGGTCCATTATTAGAAACCACTTGTTTATTGTACAAATAAAAAAAAACTTGTAACATTTGATTTTTGTTCTTGCTATGACAAAGACAACACCTTGGGATGGGACCTTTCGTTATTCCCTTTAAGTAGAGAGTAAGAGGTCTTTGGCCAAGTAGGATTAATACACTCAGTAACGTTATACCAGAATTCCAGTTTGGGACACTCTTCATTTGTCTACTGCAGGTGTCTATAAATACTACAAGGAGTGATCATTATCATTTTGTGTATTTAGACTCTCACCTTAGTACTTGCATGGGTAGAATTTCCTGGAAAAGTAGCTACAACTGTATCAGAGCATAAGGAAAGGAAAGATCTTTCCAAGACTAGTTTCTAAGGAAGCACTAGGTTAGTTACTATCTGCGAACTTTGACCCATAAATAGAGGGCAGCAAAACGGCCTAAAGATGATAATTAGCCTTAAGCATGGCTACTTCATCACCATACTACATTAGTAAACAGTGTGTGTGAACAAAGTATTTATTTTGGGTATATTATTAGACTGTTTTAATTAAAAAGTCAAGAAATCGCACAATGACCACACAATAGAATTCCATTCTGTCGCCTTCTTCTTCGCTCAATAGGTAGCGAGACGTCTGTGGGAAGGGTAACGGTGAACCATGGCGTTTTCTGGGGTAAAATATTCACAGGTTCCCACCGAAGACGGTCACAAAATCGACTTCAGTTCCCCCTTCACGTATGGCTTCAACAAGGGGAACCCTGCCGAGGGATTTACGTACAACAGAGGCACCAACCGATACGAAGACGAAGGCACAGGTATAATTTGTTGTGTTTGTTGCTCAGTCAGAGCCTGAAGAATAACGTTCTGTAGTAGTGTAGGTCATTTGGTCGAAGCCCCACCTAAATGCATAATGTGGGGATATTTGTAGAAACTATGCATCTTTTTCATGTAACATTATATCAGTAACAGTTTATGATTCTGTTATTCTCTTTCCACGTAACATTTCCTATAATGTCACATATTAAGGATCAATATCTACAAATGGCATTAGGTTTAGAGTCTGAGTGCACTGTCCGGTTTAAAACAGTTTTTCATGTAAATTTTGCATGCAAATGAGCATAGATTTTTTCTCGAGAGCTCCATAAACCCCCGGCTTCATAAACCTGTGTTGCACTCGCATTGATGGACCATGACGAATGAGTTATTGATCGACAAAAGAGCCTGTCAGATTTGATGGTTTCCTTGTTGCCGCCCCTCTGTACTGCAGCGCCCCCTAGCTGTTTTGCCCAGTGCATCCATGTGCTGGTGACCTGCCTGTGTTACCTGCTGCTGGTCCTCACCTGTCCATTCTCTGCATGCCTCGCAATTAAGGTAAGCCCAGTTTATGACCCCCCTAAATCAGTCTTTATATCAGACAGTAACCTGTTGTAAGATGCATATGTGATCATAACGATTGTTTCCATGTATGAGTAGAGTTACTTGTGGAGTACATGATGGCAATTTTTTATATGATGTTGATGTTGGTTTTTTGCTTCGTTATGACAGGTTGTCAAGAATTATGAAAGACTGCTGGTGTTCAGACTGGGACGTCAGCAGCCCCTAAAAGGACCAGGTTTGTGATAGCAGCTGCTTTTTCTCTTGCAAAAATCACCACTTACTGTTGGAATTTGTAAAAATCTGTTCACTGCTGGAGTACGTGTATTTGGGTCTGAAAAATACCTGTCATGCAACAACTTTGGCATAAAGTTATACAATAACAAACAAACATGTTCTATCCTGTGTATTGCAGGAATGGTGTTCATACTACCATGCATAGACAGATGCCGACGAATCGACATGAGACAACGGGCTTTCAATGTCCCACCACAAACAGTAAGCTTGACTTGACCTGACTACAAACAATTGATTGATTTGTATATCAATCAATAGTTCGTACTTATTAAACTCTCTAGTGTCACTGGTGAAAGGTAGTGGATGCTACCAGAAATGTCTTACCATTTCCAAAATCATATCCAGTTGCATATCTTATTACCTGGATGTCTAACCTTCACCGACATGATGATGATGATCCTTGTTCCAGGCCTATACAGAAGATGGAGGTGCCATCTCTGTTGGCGCTGATGTGTACTACCGTATCTACGACGCCATCTTGGCTGAGACAGCAGTAAAGGACCTGATTGGCTCCCTCCGTGTCGTGGCCCTAACGACAGTCCACAACGTTCTACTGAAGAAAGGGTTGTACGACATCGAGACAGACAGGACCAGTCTGAACACAGCCTTACAGGTATCTGTGTGCAACCTGCAGGGCTGTTTGGTTGTAGCATGCAAATAGATTTTGTTTATTGCAACCAAAGTTCACTTTTACCGATATGTAGCCCCAATGTGTATATCTATCCTCAACTTTTAAAATTCTTCCCAGAGTACAGAATCTTACCATACAACCGAAGCTGATCCTATATTTATGCTAAAGATAACCTTAGGAAAAAAAGACTGCACAAATGTATTTAATGTTGAGAGTCAGACGGAAATTTTCTATGACTCTTAAATACCTGTAGTCTGATTGTTAAGTATTAATTTGTGGATGCAACAAGTGCACCATTTCAAAACATTCTAAAACAGACATTTTTACATGACAAAAAAGTGATGAAACATGTGCTTGATTGTGCTTGTGCTTTTCCAGAGGGAGCTGAATAAGAGTACAGAGATTTGGGGAGTGGAGATCAGCCGGCTAGAACTGTGAGTATTGGTATCTGTAACTTTTCCTATAGAAACAAAAACTTTTCAAGTGTTCTTGCAAATGAACTTTACCTTTATATGATTAACATCATTTTCATTTACTCCTTGCCTCTTTCAGGACCATTATTTAGTCATGCTTCTGCTTATTATTCCATTTTGATGTTTGTTTTGTTTATTAGGTCCCAGATCACCATCTTGAGGCCTCCTGCGAATGGACCAGTCCTGCTGCCCCCCAGTAACAATGGACCAGCCCACAACGGACCGGCCATGTCACCACAAGTACAGACGGTGTTCCAGATGGCCCAGCATTTCTTACAGCAGGCTTCAATGGGAAACAAAGGTAGGGGATTCCTACAATGTAGTTAGTTGGCACATTGGCAGACGGTACTGTGCCTGCGTAAAATTCAGAATGTAATGTGCATAGCACTTCTACAGAACATACTTTTCATTTGTTTGCATATTTAAGGATGATATCCCATCTGTAGTTTTCAAATGTTATGTCGTAAATGAAATCTTATACAATGGACAAAATTGTGATACAGCTTTGACCAAACATCCAGCAGAAACTGTGATTTTGTGCAGGTGCAGTACGTTCTGCTGACGTGCCTGGTTAGTCAAGGAAGGACCGGGAAAGACAGGGGAAGGGTCACATGAAAATTTTTTTTTTTCACTTGAACTTTTCAGGAAAAATTGTACAAGGTAGTTGACCTGAAAAGTGTTACAGAATTAAACATAACCTAACTTAAAAAATATTTAAACTTTCACACCCTCCCCCATCCTTACCAGTCCATTCCATAGGACATATATACATTGTAGTCAATGTTTCATGTATGTCTGGAGCTTTAAAACTGCCACATATTGGTATTTTCTTTTGATGTGAATGTTAACTTTGCTTTGCAGAATGTCTTGAAGTAGAGAGGCTGGCAATGTGATGTCATTACTTGTTTAGTAGAATTGTCCACATACTGGGTATACTAGTATAGTGGAAGGGAGGGCAAACACCTTTACAAGTTTCCCTTCAAAATATTATGTAACATTACAAGTCCATTTTCATTGCTGAAGTGGTGCTAAAATTTAACTCAAGTCATCAATGTCGGTCCTTTATTGTCTCTAATGACCTCCTTTAAGAGTGTACAAGTTCTAACTAAAGACTGCTCTGGGTCAGTTTCATGGATGCCTGCACGCGGTTAAATTACTGATGTTTTTCCTCATGAATCGTTTTTGCTTTTTCACTCCTGAAACTGGAAAGAAAAAGAAGCTGCAAGGCTGATGGCTAATGCAAAACCTAGAATGAGAGGTAACTGACTAATCTTGCTGCCTTTTTTTGGCAAAATGTCCTTGGTTATGTACTTTTTTGCCCTTGAAGGCTTTCATATGAGCAGCAAAGCACAAATGGAGACTTCTTTTTATGTTCCAGAATTTTTTCTGCTTACATGTTATATTTGTGGAAGGGGAGGATATATTGCTTTTGGATGCATTCACAAACAAAACAGTTATGTGAAATATGTAGTATGGATATTTCAGAATCAACATACTAGTATTTTTGGTCATGTTGCTAGATGTGGATATCAGTGTAAACTTTCTTTCACTTTTGTAAAATTTGATTGTATTTTACAAACAATGACTTAAGCACAGATATGGTAACATAAAATAGTTGTATTTTACAATCACCCCATCTCTCCCTCCTTTCCCAAATGTAAATGTTTTGTTTTTATGTCTCTTTGTACTGTGTGTGTCACTGTCTGTCATTCATTTCCATGTTCAGTGTAGGGATGAATTGAAAATAAAAGAATTGTACTTTTCTTGTTAAAAAGCAATGCCAATATTGTTTGTTCTTGGGCCTGGAAGAGGTACTAGTAACTGTTCTGATAGACTGTACATGTGTTTATCATGCTGTAATGCTTAATACATACTTAATACTGCAAAAAAAGACACATTTAAAAATAGTCTACAAATAAGTGCTCCATTGCTGTTTCTAGAAGAGAAAATTAGTTGGGCAAGCTAAAAGTTATAGTGAAGAAATTTCTGGCATCTAAGAAAGAAAAACACGTACTTCATATTTCATACGTGTACATGTACATGTATAATGAATTTGTAGTATTGATTGAACTTTTTTGTTATTTTCTGCCCAACAATCTTTTTCTTCTCTGAAATTTTATGCCCTGTGGAAAGGAGACATGCAGTCTTTTTGTTTCTCTCTTTCTTATCTAGGTGCAAGGACTGAACAAGACAGATCCATGGTGGCAGTCCCTATCCCAGAGTCCTCTGGGACAATGTCTGCAGATTTTGGTCTCAGTCCCAGGGACCTCCTCTCAGCTGTCAAACTTCTTCTGGATGAGTCCATTGTCGAGCAGGTGGGGGCAATTTACCAGTTTGAACTGGAGGGAGAGGACGGTGGCACATTTTACCTGGATCTGAAAAACGGTAAGATATGATACTGTGCACATTTTGCAAAAGAAAATTTGAAAGGACCATAGCAAGATGTATGTTCCCAAAAGTATTCTACATTCAACATGCAAATGAATTTATCTGCAATGTTGTGATATGCTTTATAACAGGGAGATGTGGTGCATCCTATCTTGTATCAGGCTAACAAATTAAGGGTACATCACCCCTTAAGGACAATAACCCCAACCATTACAGTCCACTGATGATGATCCTTAACTGATTTTCAATTAGTCTGGGTGTTAAGTTATGTAGAACAGCTAGGACAGTTTTATGAGTGTTATTAAGTTATCCATGTAGGACAGTTTTATTTTTTTAAGTATGAAAACTTGTGTCTGAACCCACAGGAGGAGGTGATGCAGGGATTGGTCCACCTCCAAATGAGGAAGCTGACGTTGTCATGACAATGTCTGTGACTGACATGCAGCAGCTCTTCTCAGGAGAGCTCCGCCCCTTCCAGGCCTACAGCAGCGGGAGGCTCCACGTGGAGGGGAGTCTCAGAGTCGCCACACGATTGGAAGATGTTGTCAGCAGACTGAAAACATCATAGGCAGACCAGTCCAAAGCTAATGTCACTTTAATCTCCAAGCGGAATGGTGGCGACTGGACACTGCCGGGATTTGATTGTGTCTTGCTGTATTGTTATGATTTTGCCACCGCTGAATCTGCTTGGGGATTACGTATTTTATTTGAACTGTTATGTATGAACCGATTGATACAATTTTCATCTCATTTATTTGTGCCAAGTCTCCAAGGTTTGTTTTTCATTGTGTTTTGTTGCTTTTTACTGCTAACTTATTAAATATATTGTATGATGTGTATATATGTGCATACATACATACATACATATATACATGTAGTTTATTTTGTGGGATGAAGGACAATCACAAAGATTATGTCACAAACAAATTATCATATTATTGTAAATCTTTAACTTAAGGTATGTCTGCATCATAAAAACATTATATTATTGCTGTTCAAGTGAGATATAGTATAAACTGTTTGTGTTGCAGTGGCGGAACATGTAAACAAGAAATAGACCACCAGTTAACACTTCAGGGATTTATTTAGAATTCTTTCTATTCTATCTGAGTTTTGGATGGATGGGTATACATATATGTATGTACAAACATGCCTTGATTTTGACCAACTACATGTGTATATATGATATGGTCATAAAGGATGGATGAATCAACTACAAAATGTAGTTTCAGAGACAAATCTCAAAGTCTTCTAACTTACGGGCACTTTGATCTTAGATTGAAGAATGCAGGATATTAACAACATTCCTGATATGAAGCAATGACTGTGTAAAAGAATTATGAAACATCTCTATCATAATAGTATCATTGTATATATTAAAAGTAATGATCTTTTTAGGAAAATTACAAAAAAATCATTTGCAACCTTAATCAGGGACTCAACAGCATTCTTGTGCATGCAGTAGTCTGTTGATGTGACCCTGTAATGATGTATGATTATACACATTACTAGATACAATACCAAGTCTTGTAATAACTATAGAAATCATGTGATATGGTACTTAAGTACCTTTACTTAATGGAATCCATTGTTGCAATATCAGGAAAGAAGAGAGACCCAATATACCACATATTTCTGTCACATTGTGCAATATTACATTGTAAAGCTGTATATCTTTTATCTTGAATCTTTTTTCTACCATAGTCTACTACAATGTACCTCAATGTCTAAAAGTTACTAGTATTAAGTCCCATGATAGGAAAAGTTCAAGTTAGCATACTTAGAAGATGAACTTAGTATCTGATCACGAAGAAGTTGATTCTGCTACATACTTAGTATAACATATTGTAAGTAGCTGTTAGGACTTTGCAGTGACCTGTCTTTACTGTTCACTTTCTGTATTTATAGAAGAAGAATATAATGAAGCTACTGTTTCAATGTTGAAAGGTATGTTTTGAATAGACATGTCTTGGACTCTTGGCATCAGAGGTAAGACAGCAGAGAGTCAAATGAACAAGTTGACTCCCATTATGTAAATATGTGTGATATGCAATGGATGCTTTTTACGATTTCTATTGAAGTAAATGAGCTTGATGGCTTCCATTCATCTAATGGAAAGATGTGGTGATACAATAACATGAGTCTGTGTCTTTCTTCAATTGTGTCGGCTCTTTATTTCAAAACAATTCAGAGAGAAAGAATGAGAATTGTCATCTCTGTTATTAATCAATTCGAAAGGACTTTCTATGAGGGTCTGATGTAATCTGAGAACCTTTCCTGTAACATATAATCTTCCAATCAAAATCTAACATCATATCTTCTGACATGTACAATGACTGAAGAGATAATCATAATTGTATACTTTTGTATCATGCACACACACAGTATGTACTGTGAATTTCTTTTGCAGTAAAAGGAGGTGAATCTGCAGTGTTTTAAGTTACCGTAGTAACACAATGCAAGACAGAATATTATTGTGGAAACAGGCTGTTGAGAAAAACTAAACATTAAACCACAGCCAATATTTTATGATTTACGGTATTGCAGATATTAAAGGAGGGCAAGAAGCTGATCTGTTGCAGCTTCATGTCAGCTTTGAAATGTAACAGTTGCCGCACTGGAAGATATCCATATCTGGTAGTTTGGGAATGTTGCTGAGATACAGGCTTGACAAATCAATGGCAGGGACATGCAAAGTGACCACACCCTTCAATGTTTGGAAGATGATAGCATACTGGTATTACAATTTTTCTTTGCACTGTATGTAGCTTGTTAGCCATAAGTCCTCTTGCAGGCAGAGGTGAACGTTTAGTTAGCTTATGCCATAGTTTCTTTCGGTGTTTGTGTTATCTTTGTCCTGATTTATTGCACAAAAACAAAATATGTGTATGTATAGAAATTGGGTCAATGGCCTTTTAAACAATTTGCTCGCATCACAACGCAATGATATTGTATCATATGGAAATTATACCTGATGTTTTCGGTATTGGACCATTTAAAATATTTATCAGCGCCATAGATCAAACAGCACACAAAATTATTTTTCCGATGGCGAATGTGATATCCATTGTGTCTAGAGCACATATATAGAGCTAACTGGGCGACGTAATGTTTTTGCGCCACCTGTGCTCACATTGCGTATCGCTGCGGTCTCACTATCCCAGGAACAGAATTTGTCAAAATGGCGTGCTGCGACGGTTGTAATAGTAAATGTAACGAGTACCTGAGTTATCAGGTCGTCAAATACCTTCTGATCATCGCCAGCATCTTCTTCTGGGTAAGTAAAGGTTGTAGGTACATTATGCCTTCGTAGTTTTGCCGGTACAACGACGTATATTATCGCAAACCTATGAGTTTCGTGACTGCACTTGTAGTCAAATCTCGCAGCGGGACTCTTGACTCTAGCAGGTTCAAAACACTCGAAAATGTTGTCTGCTCGAAATTTTTCACACTCCCTCTTGTCTTTAATCACTTGTTCGGGATCTCTGTAGTCTCGTGGTGCCGTACCTTGTGCCTTGTCTCCTCAGTTTGTCGAGAGATCTTATCACACGTCTGGAAACATTTAGGGTTAACCACTCTAAACATGACAATTATGTGTTAGGTGGTTTAGGCCATGTTCTCGGCGTTTCTTGTTTACTTGGGCTGTTTGTATTTGACGATTGTCTCACAGTGAAACATGAAGTACATGTTAGTACTTCAGGATAGCAGTATAATGTCCTATTAGTTTTCCTAGGAGTAGGACGATAGTTTATGCTACGTTTGGCGTTATGGCCGCCCAAACTGCTGAGCAAAGCCAGGTAATTTGATAAAGTCAGCCCACGCACTCAAATACTGAGTACTCAAAAATGAAACTGCCTTCTTGTGAAATGACGTAGTGCTAAGCCCAGAAACAAGACTTAGTGCTTCTCGAAATGCAGACTGCGGGTACGTATTTCTAAGACAGAACACATCCCTACCAGGTTGTACATTTTCTTACATACATAATTTGCAGTGAGTCATTCAGGGCCATGGTCAGGGTTTTCCCCTGTGATGCTCAGAAAGTCCCAGGACTGTAAACTGAATTATATTATGACTCATTCTTACCTTTCCAGTTTTGTTTGTCAGGTTGAGGTTGACTTTGGGCAATTGTAAAATCTGAAAAATTCTGATGTAATATCAATACTGAGATCGGATCAGGGGTGACGAAGACATAATTATTATGTGAAATAAAAAATTTAGGTATCAAATTGAGTTGGACTATAGGTAAAGGCTTAAAAGACATAGATAGATATATAGATCATGAGAGGAAAATAGATAAAGTGTGTGATAGAATTACATATGGTATAGTACGAATCTGAAGTTGAAATATTGCCAGTCCCTTATCAGTTATCTGATCCATTTTCTTCTGATTAATGACCCATGCTGGCCTGTATGTCATACAGAGCTACCTCTATGATTTTAGTATAGCCAAGAACTTGTATGCATGCCAAAAGATTTTGAATATTCCACATTTAATGCCAAAAAGCCTTAAGCAATTTTAAGTTCAGTATTTTTAATCTAATTAAGTTGGAATATCAACCTAAAAATCAGGTCTGATGTAAAAGTTTATACCTACTATATGCAACGTGACTACTCACACAGGATCTAGGGGTGAATTTAATCAGATTTAAGTTTTTTTTTATCCAATACTCTTTTTTTTCTCACTAAAATGACCTAGGACTTTGATTTTAAGTAAATTGACATGGTCTAGGAACACAATGGTATGTCTTACACTATAGCCTGAAGTATTATTGAAAGCATAACTAAGCTCAAACCATGAAGAATGGCAATCCACCCCCACACCTGAAGTTGATGACTGAGGTGTGGTCAAAGTAATGCTGTATGTCAGCTTATGTCCACCTTAAACTGACCATCAAACTTACTGCATGTGGGTACATTATATTTAATTCATCAACATATAGTAATAGCTCCTGAATGGTACTGAAACAAAGCTGTGCATGTGTAGTACATGTTGATCATGTCAAGTTTGCTGGACCATGACCGCCCCAGGACAGGTGTCACTGTGTGTAGGTGGGTGGTTCTACCTGTATGGTCTCAAGTATGCAACATCCGGTCGTTTACCATGTCCTAAGCAGGACAGGTGGGTGGCAATAGGTATGCAGCATTTGGTCGTAAAACCTTGTGTGGCATAGACCAAGCCGCCTTGCACAGACTATTCAAGGTGAACTTTTATATCTACATCTGCAATGTATGTGAAACTTAACATAGGACAACAACATATCACAAATGCCATGTGTTCCAAGTGGGAGTGTATCCCTTGAATTTAAGTTTGCCCCAAACTAATTTTATTTAAAAGAACCAAATCATACTTTATCAAAGAGACTAATATTCTATCTTTGAAATTATGAAATGGAGAAGACATGACAAAGGAGACACAGTCAGTAGTCGATCAGGTTTTCAACAGAATCAGGAAAAGTCCCTTTTGTGTGTCACACAATACTGAGTTCACCCTAGGTTGTTGTACCAGAATAGAACTGTGTAATCTTGCATGCTGAGCATGTAATGCCAGTGTTAGGGACAAGCTGCTCCCTTCAAAAGTCAGAACTCTATGACCAGGGCTCGAAATCCTTTTTTGGCAACATGTAAAATTGCATATCTCACAAAAATTTTACCTGCAATTTTATGGAACAAGAGCCACTTGTTCTCAGGATATTCAACCTGGTACACAATATGGCCGCTGCTGTGATGTAACTTGCAGCATCAGACTTTGGAGATACGAAGTGCAAACATGATATGTCAGTATTTTCAACATACAAAATTGCAAGTTCAGAATATTTTTACATGCAAATCTTGAATGTCACATGCATTTTGAATGATGCTTTGGGTATTTTGAGCCCTGATTACTAGTGCAGAGGACTTTTAGCTGTAGAAAATATTTGGCTTTCTAAGAGAGTAACAGAAATTGATCTACACTGTTGTTTGAAAACTACAGTAAAAAAAAAACTCTAGATACTTATCCAGGGTTTCAAACTTTCCATATGTTGTTTCAGCTTGTCAGTGCAGCTATCATGGGCCTTGGCATATTTGCTGAGGTGGTGAGAAGAGACCTGGGCTCCATGAACACGTTCCTGGTCAGCCCGGCCGCGGCGCTCATCGCGGCGGGACTCGTCGTGTTCATCGTAACCTTCCTCGGGATGGCTGGAGCTCTCAGGGACAACCTCATCATTCTCAAAATTGTAAGTTTTAAATATCTTTTATTTACATGTACATTCAGGCCTTGAAATTTCATCTCATCTATCCCTTGGTCTAATTGTTTGACTATTATTAGCCTGGTTACCAGACCTATTACAGCTCCTGAGTCCTACATCCTTTCCGCAAATAGTAGGACTTGAGAGCTATAGTGTAATAGGTCTGGTAACCAGGCTAGAGTCACTTGACTGTTGTTGTAGTACCACAAGATCTATAACCAGTTTTCTCCACCATTCTCGGTTTCCTGTAAATTCTTATTTTGACTTAGTGTCAAGAGGTATATATTGGATATCATGACCCTGTTATATGGTGATTCATAGCAACATATCATTGTTGGATTATCACAGTTACATTCTTCACTGTCATTCTGAGTCATTTTTACAGGTGACGTGTACTAATACACTACTAAGTCTGAAAAAAGATCCTAGAGACTCATGTTGAAACACTCTGTACCTTCTGTAGTTCATCGGGCTGATGATAACTGGACTCTTGCTGCAGCTGATTGTGGGGCTGGTCGCTTTTGCCTTCAAGGACCAGGTACTTTTTACTTTTATATGTGTATTATTTCTGATTCTAAAGATAGGAATGATGTAACATCAAGGAAAAGGAGTTAAAAGATAAGTTACATCTCGTGTCATGTGGTGTGTTTCTTTCAGGCAAAGAACTTCATCAATGAACAAGTGTCCAAAGGTGTGAAGAGCTACTTTGCAGACTTGGATTTCAAGAACACAATGGATTGGGTACAAGAAAGGGTAAGCAATATGGCTCTTTGCTCTAGCTGTATGCTATAGTTTAATATGTAAACAAGAGTTTAAAGATGTCTAGCTGTACCTAACCTAACTGCTGTACTGTACTGGGCCATGACAAAACAAGACACGAGGGGACATATGACTAGCGCTGGTCAAAAAGTGCTAAATACATTGCATTCTTCAAAGTAGCATCTTCGAAGACAGCAAAAAAACTTAAATTGAAATGGAGCTACTAGAAAACTTTTTTTTCAAAACATTTCGATTTCTTTATCAACTAAAAGGCAAAGAAACTGTAATGCAGGTAAAACCCTGTCTAGTGCAGGTAAATTTTAATGTTGCCTGCACCAGTGCAGGTTTGCTGAAAAAGGTATTTTGAGCCCTGACTGAAAAGGAGCATTTCCTTAACCATCCAAAGTTCGTACTGTGGTGGACTTTCTAGCCGACAAATATTTACTCAGTTGTTGTTGTTTGTTCCGTGTAGTTCTACTGCTGTGGCGGCGTGGATTACGAGGACTGGGAGAAGAACGACTACTTCCGTTGTGCTTCCCCTGGTCCTGCCTCCTGCGGCGTCCCACATACCTGCTGTGACCGGCGCGCGGTAAGCCAGAATATACGTTTATCATGTTTTAACAAATTTGTATTACATTGTTACTAGTATACCATATTTCAGTCCTAACCTTCTTGATGGTATCTTCCGCAGAATCCGACTGATGGAGGTGTGGTGAACACCCAGTGTGGGTATGGAGTCAGGGTGTATGAGGTGAGTCCCCAGGGCAGAATCTTGGGACCACTTGTAGGTGTTTCTGTTTACTAATTTCTTGTGCCTACAGTGGATAGGAAACACCACTGCCACTATCAATTTTTTAGAACAGCAAAACATAGCCACAATATTGTATTATTCATAGTTACATGTTTTTTACAACTAGGTAACAAATATTATACAGCATTAGATGAGGTAAAAATGAAGTTCCTTTTTCCAGGGTTTGTTATGTTAACCTTCACAGAAACATCTTGTTTTTAGCTCTGCTTCTTCTTTTTCTCTTCCTCTTTTTCTCCAAACAAATGAGATCAATGACCTGGACCAGAAGGCTGTTGCCATGATAACTGGTACTGTAGCAGACACCCTGTGCTGTTGAATTACATTATGTAGCAAGTTTCAGGACAGTTGCAGGGGCTGCTCACCACATATATTTATTTTTTTTAAATGGCAATGTGTTTGAGTAAGGATAAACAACAGAGCAGTAGTTTGTTAGGCTAGACTGTCCCCATGTGAAGGTAAACATTACATATTTGCTTTGCAAATGTTACATGTACCTCTCTAGTTACATAGTACTTTTGTGTCCCTGTAGCGTCTGGAGCTTGTGGATATAGTGTATATTCGTGGCTGCACGGATGCCGTTCTTATCTGGTTTGAGGACAACTTCGACATTTTCGCTGGGCTCTGCATTGGGCTACTCCTGCCCCAGGTATGGTTGGTGTTAGATGGTGTCTGCCTTAATCTAAATACATGTAACAGATAGCATACTCTTTTTAATGTAAGCATTTAGAATATTGTAGGTTTCTATATCTGTAAGTTGCAACAAGTCTATGTAAGTAAGTAAAGGAATCGAGGGTATGCTTTTGAAAGACTAATAAGTAAAAACTTGCAGCAAAACATTATGACACAAAAAGATTTATTCATACATCTTTCACATTAATTTCTTGCAACATTCTTCTTCATCCATAGTGTTTAGGTATTCTGTTGGCCTGGATATATATAGACAGGATAGAAGAAGAGATTGCCAAGATTGCCCTAACAGGTGGAGATGACGTGGATCGCGCCATGATGGACACTGCCATATAGTGTAGGAAATTTGGCCTCAGATTTTATCTTGGTGATGGTGGCAGCACAAAAGTCTTTAATTTATTGTCACTAATTGTTTTGTCTCCTGAATGTTGTTAGAACTGTGGGGTGCACATTTTACAGTGAATAATTTCATCAGGTCACCAAGAGAAGGTTCTTTATTCCAACAACCAGTGGGTTTTCACATCCAACATTTTCATGACTATCTGTCACCTTCTTCAGGGCAACAATGACTGGTTCTGATTTGTACTGGAGCTATAGTGTCACTGCAGCAATGTTACAAATGAGGTCCCAAACAATGGGTAATATGTACACATAAGTACAGTAACAATAAGTTTCAGTTTCAAGTTGGGACCTCAGTCGTAATATTGCAGATTGAAGCAAAACATCCGACATATAAACCCACTGGTTGTAACAATAAAAGAACCTTATATAGAGCCTGCTAAGGACTCTGGCTAGGGGATCAGTCTGTTGCACTTTTTATCACGGAGAAGTGACTTTTTTAAATTGTCATGTATTAACTATCTTGGAATGTTCACAATTGTTTGTGTACACAGTTTTCATGGTCACCTTTCACCACTATAAAATCACCACAACACTAACAATGCATATTTTCTCTCAGTAATGTCATCCATGTACCCACCACCATCAAATCTAAACACCATAAAATAAAGTCCCCCAAACAAAGAAGTAAAAGTTTTAACTATATGACATCACTGCAACTTAAAGATTTGTACTGAAAAGACTTGCGATCTTAATTTTTGAGGAATCCAAATCCATTATGCATTACAGCTTTTCTGTAATATTTGGTGAGTGTTGGATGATTTTCCCTTTGGCTGTTCAAAAAAATCGTAATGGATGTCAAATGTAAGGTATAATCAAACTTGCCTTCAAGTATGGCCATGATAATACCACAAGCCGGCACCATCTACTTTACATGTGCAGGGATGTCATCCATGATATTTTTAGGAACTTCATGATCATTGTAATTTCAATGGATAATACAAAGTACTGTCCTTCAATCTCAGAAAAACGTACAAACCTTGATGTGGACATCTAAAAATTTTTCACGACTTCATTTCCCTTAGATCCTGGGCATAATATTTGCTGGGATTCATATTCGAAACGTAACAAGCATTGTGGAGGAAGAGAAAAACAAGAGATGGTACTTCGATCGTCCAGATGGTTCAGCGTATGGCTTTCAACCAGTGCCACATTCTGAAGCTGAGAGCACTTTGTGAAAAGTAGGCAAAAAAAAACTATAGGTGGACGCCCACCAGACAAGTTTGCCGTGCAGTGTGATTCTGATCAACTGTCTTTAATTCAAAGATTTTGCAGTGGAAACTTTGCTGATTGGTTGCTTTCCACTTCATTTGAAGTCTGTCAAATTTTCCTCATAAATGCTGACTTAGTCCTTCCTTTAACTCTTTTTGCTTGTTCTTAATATTTGCCCTGATCAGTGTTCACAATGATTCACCAGACATGATTGTCAATCATCGCAGTCAAAGTAGGCTACACATTTCTAAATAAGAAGTAAATAACCTCCCTATTGTAAGTGACTTTTCCTTGTTTATTCTTGAGTTCCTTACTTCAATGTGACACTTAATAGAACAGAACAGAAAAGACAGCTTCACAAAATCATTGACAAGTTCATTCAAACTTTAATTTGGTGATGCAGTGACTTCGTTCGACTTAAATCTTTGAAAATTGTGCCTTCTTTTAACAATCTACATCTTAAGTTCAAAAATGCCAGGTTGATCTACATGTATCTTAATCCACTCTTATCCATTAATCCACTCTAATCCATTAATCCACACCAATCCATTAATCCACACTAATCCATAAATCCACACTAATCCACAGCCTCTCAGGCAGTCCAGCCTGCAAAGGTACCATCCTTCCCTGATAGTGATGCCCGTACACTCTAACAACAGCCAGAAAAAAACGATGCCAAATCAAGGAGATTAAAGGGAAATAAACTTGAAGACATGATGATGAATAACAAAATAATTTCTCTTCTGTCTTGTTTTTCAGCTTCTTGGGATCTTGCTGTCGTACATCTACATCAACAGAATAGAAGATGAAATCGACCAGATAAAAACGGCACCTTATGGGACCTGGGGAGGGGTTGATGACACTGATGCACCTGCCAATAGAGACACTGCTGTCTAACTGTCAACTTATGAACCAAACGCTTTCAGGCATGACTGTTCTGTACAAAAGCTTCTCGTTAGTTATTGCCAGCTTTTTGGCAGGCTTTTAAATGTGTGAGTCAAAGAATGCACCGCAAGCTGAATTCTGACTTGGCTACTTTTTGCAAGGAATGTAAGGAAGACTTTGCAAATGAAGTTTCCCTTGCAGTTTTGATTGAAAAAGATACTTAGTGCCTAGTGAGATCTTGCTACTCTGAATAGAAATTTTGGTAATTGATAAGCATAGTTTCTTCTTAAATGTCTAACAGGACTGGTGGTAGAAAAGCTGTAGTTTTGTTGTGCATTTGCAAGCAGGTTGAAATAGATTTAAACCTCCTGTTGTTGGTATTTGGTACAAATCTTCAAAAGCAATTCACTAGATACAAAGTGCTGAATGAAAATACTTTTTATTGTTTTGACATCTCACTGGAAAAACTTTATGTACAACCAAGTTACAGATGTTTTTTTCCATGTTTATATATAATGTAGTAGTAAGGAATATTGCACATACTGCTTCAGTGATCTTGTACAGAATGCACTTTCATCAGGAATGGAAGAACTGATTCTGACAGATTTTGGACACTTGAATGAAAACATGTAGCCTGTGTTTACACAAGCTCTGGCTGGCTGCCGTCCTCCCCAACTCTTGGGCAAGCCAGCTGCTAGGAGAGCAATTTAGTCGGGCTACAAAAACATGGTGCTAAATATAACTACTGTAACAGTACATCTGACAGTACTTTTGAGGTAGGCATACTTCTGCTGCCTTACTTAAGAACAGTCCATTCCAGTCTCAAAAGTCCTGTCAGACATTTTTGTCATACGATAATAATCGGTCAGTTAGCTTGGACTATTGAGCACGGGTTTTAGTCAGCAGGCTAGACCATAGATGTGCTAAATGTTATCAAATCTGGCTGCAATTTTATACAGATTTCATTGTTGGATAAAAAGGCTCTTTATTACCACCAAGGAGTTTTCACATCCGATGTTTTGGTGACCGTCACATTTTTCCGGGCAACAATGACTGATTCTGATCCATACTACATGTTGTTGATTGTATGTAACAGGAGCCTCTATAATATTACAAAAATTGACCAATTTTCTGTACAAACAGTGTTTCAGAATGCTCAAGGCCTTTTTAACACAGTCCCAACAAGATATGCACTTGATGATAGAGTTGATGAGGTAAATCAGGACTTCATGATATTTCTTCTCGGGACCTTTCTGAGATAACAATACGTGGTTCAAGATCCAAATATCAGGAATAGTGAGAAATAATTCAACAAAGAAACAATTCAAACTTGCAAGCAATTCACAACTTGCAAGTGACTTCATAATCAAAAGTGATTTCAAACTTCAAAGTGACTTCAAAACCTTAAAGTGATTTTTCAAACTTGAAAGTGATTTTAAAAACTTGAAAGTGACTTAAAACTTGAAAGTGTCATTTGCACCAGGGTAACATAATTACATGTCCGACTTGGAAATAAAACATTGATGACAAGACGTAAAGCTTTCAAAATAGACTACATTCAGAGTTACAAAGGCAGTACACACTGATATCCAGTTGAAGCCAGGTACAGAAGTAAACCTGGTTGTCAAACAAATTGTTTAATGTTGTGTCTTAAGTGCTGCTAAAGCCAATTTACATGTACTTTTCTCATTGAAATAATCAAATGCTACATTGGTATGTGAACATGCACAAGTAAGGTTTGTCACATTGTAGCATTATGATGGAGGTACATGTAGTAGTCTGCAGTGAGCTATGCATCAACTTCTACTTAAAAAGCTTGCCTTACTTAAATACATGTATAAACTTTACTACACTGTACTAGATATGTGCAATGATATGAGGAAGACAATTGAATCTGTAACAATTATGAAACACTCGCCAAGATTTTATGTTTTACTTTATGTTTTTAACTTGTTTAGGAGCATTGCCTTCAGGGTAAACTTTAATTCTATTTTGTGTTATGCCAGAAGATAGTTGTATGTATTTGATGGATAGTGTAGGATTTTAATGTCATGACTGGGACTTGTAGTTGTCGTGTTGTTCTTGTGTCTCATTTATACAATTGTGTAAGGAGACACACATAAGCTGATTTATGAAAAAGTTTTATGAATTTTCCATGACACAAGTTTTTAATTTTAATTGGGACAGCCTTTGATCAATGTCGTTTATGTTTAATTTGCTACCCACAGAATAACGACACTGTCTTTGTTCTGTGGCATGAGGAAAAACTGATACACGACAGGTGCCATCCCGTCAGTACCTGCTATTATTGCTAGGTTCATGCGCACATGTATATTGTAGCACAGCACCTTTAAGTTAGTTTGCAAATGATAGATATGCTATGTACATAATAGTGTGAATGGGAAGAATCATAGAAACAATTTAGATAAATTTTATGGTAATTTAAGCACAAGGAGCTTGCTGTGGTGTATAGAATATTGAGAGGTACTGCTATTATTGATAGCTTTAGATGTGGTGGACTAGCTTAGACCCTTAACCTTCTTCCTGCAGAGACAGCCTTCTGGCATCAGAGTTGCATCTGCTACAGAACAATATGGCAGGAAGAGGGTTAAGTCTATGCTGTTCACCTGTGCTGTAAGCTTAAGGTGTAAATACGACTGTACTGACTGTATAAAGAAGTGTATCTGTGTAGGTGCTATTTGCAAAGTGTACTTGCAATGTAGATGTGTGTGCAGAAAAATGTTAGCATACGAGAAACTGCAAAATTGGACAAATTCTCAAGATGTAGAGACAGAAGTATAGAAGCCCCTGTGTACAATGTACAATGTGTTTCATGAGTCCATAGTGAAGCAACATTGTAAAGGACACTGGTTTTGATGGAAGTTTTAGATCTTTGGGCAAGCATTGTGTAAATGTGAGTGGAAAAGAATTGCAGCTGCAAATAGTCAATAGTTAATAATGAAGATTCAGTCACAAAAATCCTATAGAAGTTATGGAGCAGATTGCTGTGTTGGTAGGAGCTGCCATGTATGTATTAGTATCTGGAACTCATTTAAAGCACAGACTTGAATACTTGTTATTGCCACAGATTGACGTTTGAATTGCCTTTTTTGATTAATTAAAACAGTGTGTGATTCTAATGCTTCTTTCGTATTTCTTGTCATCATTTAAGACCAACTTTTTCTATCATTATTTCTATAAATAAGCAGAAAAATCTGTTTCAAGCCCTGATTTCTAGTAATTGCAATTTTCTAAATGTATACATACGGTTTGAAAATGTACAAGGCTTATAAGGACAGGTTTACCTGTGTGTGGAAGGTGTTCAGCACCAAGGACAGGTTTACCTTTGTGTGGAAGGTGTTCAGCACCAAGGACAGGTTTGTGTGTGTGTGGAAGGTGTTTATTCTACCACGGAATAAACCACGAAAATAGATGAATAGGAAAATTGGGCAGCTTATTCTTGAAAACGTTTATTTGTGATTATAGAAATACTAATTTAAAGGTGCCCTGTAGCTGCATTTTTACCCATTTTTTTTTAACCGAGATTGACATCAACGTTAGTATCCTTCGTAATGAGATAATCTAATCGTCCTTCTTCGACACATATAAGTGCCTGGCACCGAAACGGGCCGTCATTGGTCATCATAATTAGATTATCAACTTCACATTAATTATGCATCGCTGTTCTGCACACCTGTGTAAAAACAAGTTTGGCGTGGTCATTTCAAAATGGCGGTTTCGTACGACGGGAATACTCTGGGCTGATTTTTTCACAACTTTCTAGGTACTTTTAGACGTTTTCGTCGGTAGAATGTCCTAGAAAGTGTGCAGCAGAATGTTTGGGAGTTTTCGCTGTGGATTTGTGCCGTTCTGGTGATGTTTTGAGGAGAAAATGCGGATTTCCTGACCTGGCGAATTTTAGACAAAAATGGCGAGAGAGCTGGGGAGAGTAGCGTGGTATGGACTAATGGAGACTACTTCGATCATTGTTTCAGGTATTAACCAGTACATTGTTTGGCTGACATTATTCCTTAGCAACTAGTGCGAACATGTCAACATATTCCGTAAGAAATGAACTATTTCTGTATTAGGTAGCGACCGTTCATAATTTTTCATAGGCTTAGAAAAGTCCTTCATCAAGTTGCCGCGTTTTCAACAACATTTTCAATGTGTGGTGCGCTTGCAGAGTGCTAAATGTATGCGCATGTCTTTTTAGTCAGTTGTTCAGCGTTTTGAGGTTATATTTGTCGAAAGAAATTCTGCATTGACCAAACCATTTTCTCTTTATCTCCACGTGGTTCAAAACACCTGTTGGAATGTGGCCATGTACATAATTAGTTATTTTTCCTACCAAAAAATTGCGTAAACAAGATGGGGTCCTCTAAGTTTCAAGGCGCCGAAATGAATACGATACAAAACGTTTGAAAACTAGTTATTAGTCTAGTTGACCATACTTTGAAATTCGTTCTTCATTATCATATGCAATGTATCATTTTTTTTATAATGAAAGCTTGTTCGTTTCCTTTTTAGAGTAATTCAGTAAATAGTAATGACCAAACCCAAGTATTTCTGGCGCCAACAATACGGATGACTATGCTTTTCTTGTCAAGGTAGCAATTCCTGTTTTCAAAATATTTTGCACAGAGTTTTTTCGTATTCCTCATAAAGTTTCAGTTGAAGGGGGCTGATTTGTCTTATTGTTGTTTCTATCCCCGTTTTTATGGTCATCGTGTAGAGTTTTCGTCGAGGTATGTGTTTGTCTTAAAGGAAAGATATTTAAGGTGTGTGTGTGCATTGCTGGTTTTTAATTTGAGACAAGTGTCCAACTTATAATGTATGTATGGTTAGATAAAGGCTGATGCAGTAGTGAGAACTTGTCTGAACCTGACAAGACAGACTGGACCAGACCAGATGATTTGAAGACCGAAGAGGAATATCCCAATATGGCATTTTACCTACAATTACTTGGTCTTACTTGAGACAAGTGTGTAACTTCTAATGTCTGTATAGTTAGGTGGCTGCTGACTGATGCAGTAGTGAAGACTACTGTCTGAACCTGACAAGACAGATTGGACCAGAAGATTCGAAGACAGGTACCGAAGAGGAATATCAGGTGACAAAAATCCCAATTCTGCATTTTACCTACAACTATTTGGTCTTATTTGAGACAAGTGTGTAACTTCTACTGTCTGTATAGTTAGGTGGCTGCTGACTGATGCAGTAGTGGTGAATTCTTCATAAACCTGACAAGAGAAGATTGGACCAGACCAGGTGATTTGAAGACCGACGATGACTCTCAGGTGAGAAAAATCTGAATTCTGCATTCAACGTACTATTTACTTTGTTATTTGAGACAGGTCTCTTCTAATGTCTGTAGTTAGGTGGCTGATTTCTGATTTGTTACAGACCCTGAGGCATAACAACCAGTAATGTGTTTAAAAATACCTTTCCATTGCCAAACACTTTCTACATCTATTAAAGCATTATGATTACCGGTATCTTTGGTGGTTAGTCAGTGTTATCTAAGATGTTTTTGCATCATACTACAGTAATTATCCTTTCACCCTTAGTTATGCGTTTGACGTTCCTGTCCTGACCTGACTGGGAGAAACCTATGATGACGGTTGACTTCTGTGTAAACCAGACCAGATCAGGAGTTTGTACCTGTCCATGCAGGTGAGACAATACTTAAAAACTTGAATTTTTCTTTCCTCTTTGATGTATTACGAACTGTGGGATAACATGCTGCCAGTAACAGTTACTAAACACTTTTAAAAAACCTAAATTATTGTACATGTATTCAAGCAACTTTTACAACTTACATTTCTTATTCCTGTCCTCACATGTACTTGTATGTTAAGAACTCTGACGTGTAAAATGCTACAAGTACATTGTAACATGTTTAAAAGCAGTTTTGTAGAGCCTAACTCCTTGAAAGTATATTCAATCAATGGGATACCGGTAGTTGAATTGCATGATGTTTTTCCATCACACTAATTATCCTTTTATATTGTTAGGTGTGTCCTGAGGGTTGGCTGTCTGTTCTGGGAGAAACCAGCTGACTTGAAGATGCAGAAGGAAATGAAGACAGCGGGCACAGTTGTGACTCACTTGTGAGTATAGTTTATTTGCTCAGCAACACACCCATGCTAATACATAATCCACTTGTCCAGTCACTAAAGCTTGCACTCCTTTTAATTACACAGAATGTCACACTTTTTTCTAGACTCCTTTTGACATCTTTAAACAATTAGACCTACAAAAGAGGTTAGAGTGTCTCCAGTATAACCTCCTTGGTTCCACATTGCACTTTGTCATTTGAAATACAGTACGTCACACTTTTACGGATTCCTTTTG